ATTGCTACCGAGACTTAATGCAAATTTTTGCAAATTTAAATAAGTTTGCAAACACTTTTATAATAAATAAAAAATATTTTTCTGATGTCTAAATTTAACTCCAAGAAAACTATTAGTTTATCCCTTTGTCATATTAAATAATATCCAGAGTATTAAAAAACCCACCTAAGTAGTTCATGGAATTATATAATATATTTGCCACGTTTTGTTGAAAATGTCCATGATCTCGAAGGGTCAAAATAGGTATAACCTAACCATCTCCGGTTAAAAAAACCCACCTCAAAAGTCATTCATCCCCTAGTTTACCACCCTTAGAAGTGGATATTTTCTTGAAATTTTGAATGGGACCACACCTGACGTACCTTCTTTCCAACAAAAAAAGAATCATCAAAATTTTTCCACAAAAAAAGAATCATCAAAAAATGATTCACAAATGGCGGAATTATCGCGTAACAACAAAAAAAACGACACACAGACGAATTGAGAATCTCCTCCTTTTTTGAAGTCGGTTAAAAATCAAATAATGAGCGAAAATCTTGACAATTTCAATCATGGAACTAGGTACACAACAGAGTACTAAAAACCCGACCTCAGAAGTCATTCATCCCCGTAGTAGTTTGCTACCCTTAGAGGTGGAATATTTTCTTCAAATTTAAATGGGACCACCAATGATGTAAAAAATAATTATACAAATCGATTCACAAATCGCGTTATCGCGTAACATATATAATATATAAATAACAAAAAAAAACGTACAGTCGAATTGAGAACCTCCTCCTTTTTTGAAGTCGGTTAAAAACATGAATTCTATATGATTGGTAATACCGGATACAAAAGAAATAGTATTCCATGTGAATGTGAATATGTTCTTGAAGACAGAATTTACGGATGGCTGTGTATCAAGCTACACATTGACGGTTCTTATTCCGTTGCTGTGAAGGCGATATTCGAAATTTTTGTTCCTTGATGTGTTGTTGACTGCACGTAATAAGGTCATATAAAATGTTGTAACATTGTAGACTCAGGGATAGGGAAAAGTTTGTTTTTCTCATGAATAAAAATAAATCATAAACGTAGTTACACGTCTTAAGACATAAAACTGAAATAAAACGACTACAGTAATATCATACGAATGAAACTGTTTTTTCGGGCTTGAATCACAAATATTTGTTTTTTCAAACACAGCAACCTTTCAAGCCCTTTACGAGTCCCCACGGTCACGGCTGACTGGGATCTGCAACGGGCAATAAAAACAAATATATGCAATTTAAAATCGAAAAAATAGTTTTATTCGTATGTGTAACAATCGTGAAAACCTAAGAACTCAATAATATCAATTCAAATATTATCAAATATCATTATTTTATAATTCAATCTATTGCCGGTAAAAAAGTTGATTGACCCATGTATTAAAATCGTTTACTTCCTTTATGTATTTTTTTTATATAGAACTGATTTTTTTATTGTCCTATGCAAACACAGTAGATAAGCCATTCTAGTTGATAACATTCATCAACCCAAACAATATTTCGCGAACTATACCTATATTACGAGGTCAGTATGATATCATGAAGTAGGAGCATGAACATAACATTAGAATAATCTGGAGTTCGAGACTCATATTTGGCCATGACTCAAAAAACAAACTTATTTTTACCAATGGCAGATGTAGATGCTATACCATGGTACGAATGCTTTTTTGACCATGCAACATGTAACAGTTTAGCGATATCGCAAAAAAGAAAAAAAGGAAGTTATAATGTGTAACCATAGTGAGTGATTATTATTTAAGGAATAGACACGAGTCTTCACACGAGTCTATAACTTAGAACAAAATTCCAGACAGTTGTTCCAAGTGACATAGATTGATTACCACAGACCACATAAATACTTCTTCCGTCTTGATTACATTGAAATATGTGTGATCGTAACGTGTAGTTTATTGCTAAATTTGCAAATAAATACTTAATATTTTTTTTTACTTGATTATTTTCTACAATAATTAATTAAAAAAGTTGATGTATCCTATTGGATAAAATTGATGACAAAGAACTTTGCCTTTTTTTTTAACCTTTTTATCTTGATGTTAAGGATCAAGGTGTGTTGTTTCAATATTTAAGTGTCATGTTTAGTTCGGGAAAAATCGACATCAACAATTTCTGGTATTTTCCTTTGTTATTCTGTTATTATAAAATAGTTTTCAATGTCAACAGTCATTACTCTGATTACAGTTGTTGCTTTGCATGATTCCTAATTGAAATCGAGTTTTCAATATAATTTATTTATGTATCTACACATGTGACGGAAGTTCATATCATTTCATCAGTGGAATCAAAGATCTACGGTTAACTGATGATGATATCATGGTCAGTTTTGACGTTCAGTCGCTGTTCACCAACCTACCAGTAAAAGACTGCATTGAAATTGTATGTAGAAAGCTAGGTGAACACATGTTCATTGAATATGTAGAATTATTAGAATACTGCCTAACATGAGGCTGTCTATTGTAGAATAATGAAGTATCTACAAATCGACTGTAGAACGTCGGGCTTTCCGGTATCTCCCGTTATTGCCGGTAGTTTCATGGAAGTTCCGATGAATAATCCCAAACAGACATAAGACTGCAGTACTGATTAATAATGTTTTAATTTATTTTAATTTCCATTATTAATTAATAATAAATTTAATTAAAATGAAATAATTTGTAAAACATCTGTAGCGTACATTGTAATATTCTTTGGAAAGTTAAAAATAAGGTATTAATTAATAACTTTTGTAACTATAATGGAAAAAATATGGTGGTTTGCATTAATATTAGACATAATTGGTTGATGACTTTACCACCTCTGTCAATCATGACCATGGGACCTGTAAAGGGCCCTAAAACGTTGGTTTGTTGGAAAAAGCAAATTTAAATATAAAAAAGCTGAGAGCTTGCTGAGTGAAGAAACAGGTTTTTCACAGAAGGCGCAACGGCAAAAAGTCAATAAAAACCTCGTAGTCGTTAAAAATTCGTAAGGTCCATTGATTCGTTCCGTGGCTTAGTTGGCATACGTCAAACACGGTTTGCTGGAAGACTCTGGTTCGTATACAGTCGGATCGAAGGAATTTTTTCTTAGTGTTCGATCTTTGTATTAATAATTATAATTTATTCATCAAAATAGTTTTAAAAGCATACCATTTAGCAAAATTCCTAATGAACCACCAACGAATTTCATATGTAATGAGGTCATACACCTCATAATCTTTATGTTTTATAAACAGATAATGATCTACGTCACGAGTTCAAGAATCTATTTAAGCAGGTTAATATTACATATATTCTGTCACGTAATGACATATGAACAAGATTCCGGTTTTATAATGGAATCACTACACTTATCGAAGCAGGTCGCTAAAAGCTTTATGTCCATACAATAAGAGCGAAAAAGATGTTTTGCGGAAGTGGAGGTTCAAGCCATTGATGACGTGAGGTTTGGCTTGATATCATAGACAAATTAGTATAATTAGCGTAATATATACTAGAAGTTCTTTTTACTATAATCGATACAAAGGTGGAATGCAAAGAAAAAATCCTGTTACCATGACGGGGTTACCGCTCTTAAGCGCGAAACACGCAGAGAACGGGTACGGGTCGGGCACGTGTCGGGTCGGGAGCACGACGGGTGTAATTGTGAACGGACTCGACCTGCGCCCGTCCCGCGCCCGCGCGTGATGTGTTGTCGTCCATATAAATACACGGAATTACAGCGTCGGACACGCGCCCGACCCGCATCCGCTATCAGTGTGTTTCACGCTTTAAATTGAGCTACAGGCCTACCAAGTCAGCAGGTCTTACGAATTTCTTTCTGTGTGTTTTATATTGGGTTTGAAATTGCTTTTTTATAAGAATAATAATAGAATGAAATAATAACAAGTAGAAGAAGAAAAAACGGTACGATACGAATGGAGAGAGGCGATACAAAAAGGTGGGATGACGGTATAAGGAGGTCACACTGTCACACTAGTTTAAAAGTAATAAAAAATTTCACAAAATATAATTGAATATCAATTCAATAAAAATTTGAAGACTACATGTTAGATAATTTTCTTGCTCGTTCTTCTCAGGGAAGTCAGCGTAGTGAACGAGCAGTAGCTTAAATGTGACATTTTCAAGTGTAAATTTATTTTACCTATGGAATAAATGATTCTTTGACTTTGACTCTTTCACAACGAGTCTATTGCTACTATTCTTATACAAAGCACATAATAATTTTGTCCATACAAAAGGCAATTCAAAACTCGTAACGAAATTGTACATAGCATATTGAACTTTATGTTTATTGTCACAATTGGGTAACAAACTCGATAGCTGCGAGAATTCACAATACTCCGCAAGAATTCTCCGGAAGACCTGTTTTTTGTTTGGATCTAGTTTGTTTGTTACACAATTGACATAAATTTCATTATGTTATGTACTACAAAAATTAGCTTCCATTCCATTCCACGGCGATGTAAAATGACAATGTTGAAAATAACAATGGCAGAGAATCATATATCATATATATTCATAAATACGCATGAATCATGAATTCATTATTAATATTATATTAGTATATTGTTTCTGAAAATATTTGTTTCAGCGCTTATCTGTGGTTTTTGGTGTGCAGTAGTTTTATTTTTGTGGTTAAGTCGTTAGCGGGCGAGTAAATATTATGGCATTAATTCGTATAGACTGTTGCACAATCAACTTTCTGTTCTGTGACCCAGCTTCGAGCCGGTTGCTTTTTTGAGAATATCCACGCATGTGCACTATTATGTAACATTACATTTACTTCTTGTAATAGGCATGTACTATTTGTAAATTAATTGAAATAAAACTATTATCAGTATTTAGATAAAATATCTAGCGACCAAGTCTAAAAATTTTCTTATTAGGGACAACTTTCTTGAAATTAAATCTTGATAATATGTCACAATTATACAAGAAAGACAGAATTTATATCACACAATCTACTCACCATATCGCAGCTTATTGATTGAGAAGGAGTTAATGGTACATTTAATATTCCGGAACTCAAGCTGCACAGTGGATCGTGGCAGTAATGGTACCACATTGTTGTTCGCTCCCAACACGGACGTTTCGTCTGCGCCCGCCATTATCTTCACTAAAGACACTTTCACTTAAACTGCAATTGTCATTACTTTCTACACTGTATTCGCGACGGTGCTCGTCAAAGTCCCCACTAGTTGGTAGTTTCGTGTAATAATAGACAGGGACACTTCTACGTTAACACTATTTGACCAAGTTCAAGTCGATTCTGATCCATTCGCCAGTCTGTAAACAAAGAAATTGTGTTAATTAAACTGCGTCTTACGATGTTTATTATTTTATATTACAGATTGTTCAAATTGATTAAAGTTTAATGAAGATAAAATTATATTGTGAAAAATATTATGTTCATTAATTGTTACGGTATAGGTTTATACATTTCATTGTATTTTAAGATTTAGAGTCGTTACACACGGCGCTGTTGGCAGTGATGCAATCGCGAGTTTGTATCGATGCAGTCGCACGCTTGCATCGCGTTTGCATCGCTGCTTCAAATCGCGTGCGTGTGTAAAGGTAGACGGTTAGCGACTGCATCGCTTTTGCATAGCTGCTCAAATGTCGCCATGTGTAACCGCTCTCATATTTAGAATGCCTATTATTATAAAGGCTAATAAAAAAAAACCACTATTTTAAAGTACCATACTGTATAATAGAAATAAAAAATACATGTTCCGTGTTTTTACGAATACTTGACAAATAAATGAGTTATGTCGTTTCAAAGTTTACCGAGAAATTGTGAATAGTATTGACACCAGACGATTAATAGACCCCGTTGCCATAGCAATGTGGTGGTGGTGGTGGTGAGTCGAAGCGCGAGTTTTATTTACTATTTTGAGGAAGTAGTAAATAAGAGTTTGCATCACTGCGTAAAATCGAGCGTGTGTGTAGAGGTAGACGATTAGCGACTGCATCGCGTGTGTAACCGCTCTTAATGGCGTTAGCACTTCGATGGCGTAGTCTGCTAATTCTTTGACGTTTCTTTCGATTCTTTTTTACTAACATTTTAAGTACTTATATCGATTATAGACTAGAAAAACTCGCACGGCTAGAAGATGCTGACACCCGCCTCTTAAGTCCCTTCGAGACCATGGACGTTACAATATGTCCGAAACGTCGAGGTAAATAAAATATGTTTTATACGTGACTAAGTCCCGAATTAAAAATCGAATAATGTGTGAAAATCGTGAATTTGAAATACAAAAAAAACATTTAGTTTGAACTAGGTAAAAATTAAGATATTCACATTGACTTACAATTATAGATATTCATAGTAATTTCCATGATTGTTTTAGTAAGTCAACATCGGTCGTTAATTAATTAATTAATACACAACTGCCAGCAGCTAGATTTTAGCAGAATAACAAATAGTGTCATATGATAAAAAATAAGACGCGTACAAAATCAATAAATGGGAAAAAGTTTACCCACAGCAATTACAATTCTATAGTATAAGGAATACTATATTTTTTATATTCTTGTTTGCTTCTTATAATTCATTGTTAGACTTAATTATTCTAGTGGAAACAACAATTCAAGCGTCTTTTTTGTTTGTAACCCACACGCAATAGTCACACGCCTGGTCGCAATTTCACTTGATGATGATCTGACTATTGTGTTTAAAGTCTATTTTTCTCCAGTCTTGAATAGCTCTAAATTGTGCTATGGCGGGAAACAACGATGTAATAATTAGATGTAATAGTAGTAGTAGATGTAAGTAGTGTATTCCATTCTTTGCCCTACGTATTAGGAAGGACGAAGCAAAGCTCTTCGTTCGAATGAGTGTGGTTGTCATATCAACGACATAAGGGTGGAGAGTTCCGAACTTTCTAGTTGACCGAAAGAGAAAAGATAACAGTAGAACCAAATTGAAAGTTACCGCGTACACTCTTTGAAAGTCGTAGTAACCTAATGGTGAGCCTTCTTCTCAAGAAGAGGCCGTGTGTTCGAATTCGGGCTCACACATCTGAGTTTCTCGGAATTCACGTGCGAAATTTATTTTGAAATTTATCATGAGCTTATCGATGAGGGAAAACATCGTGATGAAACCTGCACGTCGAAGAAGGTTCACAACCCTTGGAAAACCCGCATTGGGTCAGCGTGGCGGTCTATGGCCTAAAGCCTCGCCTGAGAGACGATCCGTGTCCAGCAGTGGCAAGTGTAAATGGGTTGATGATGACTCTCTGAAATATATCCGATAGAAAACGGTCTTAGCGTCCACTGAAAATCAGCGTCATAGTCTTTACATTAGCTGAGTGGATCCTTTTACATACGCCACAGCCGCATACATGGCATTTATTCAAAATTGGATTATGTTTTTGTTATTTTACTTTCTGTATTACTTTTACTTCTGTTTTTATTTTTTTTCTGTATATTTTTGTGTTGTGGCGTCGTAATAAATGAATTCTATTCTATTCTAAAACAAACAGGTCAGTTTTCTGAGGCGATCGAGATTTTGTAGTCTCGATTTGACAAGAGAGTTGTTGTCGACTCTGCTTATTACTCCACCGGTTCCAAGTCAGCTAACTGGTATAGCGCAGAGGAGGCAAAGGTATTTCATACACGGTCGAACTTGTGCTATAATAGAGATTTAAAAGCTGTTCAAGTGTAAAGTACTTCCAGACCTTGAAAAGTATGTTTGGCTTTCCTTGTGGTTATTGCATTGCATGACGTTATTAAGTGATTAGTTGTCTAGTCATCGAAGTTGTGGACTAAAAGTATTATTGTACAAGTATAAGGGATATTTCAAAAGAAAATTTAAACGAAGTTTTAGTGGTTATTTTTGCCAAAACCATTTTTCGTCTTTTTATCGATTTTTATCAAGTTTTGTCACTCTTTTCGATTTTTGCAAGTCTTTTGCAGTTAGCGTAGGAGTATAAATTAGCTATTAGACCAATCGATTTGTCTGGGAAAAGACAGCTTGCAAACTTTCAGTAAATTCGTCGATGATTGTTATATTTGGGATACGAATGTTTCGATTATTTGTTATGCCTTTATATTATTTATATTTTCAATTGTTGACACAAGACACGAAATATAAATGAATAAAATTCGTTCACAAATTGGATCCGAAAATGCGAATGATTAATTAAAGATTTGATTCATTTGACTGTCTTGGCTCATTATGATATTTATATCTCTTACAATCCGGAATGAAGTTCGGGCGAGTCAAGATAGGAAACAAATTATCACAAGGCTACTTTAGTTCCGCTAACGTTATATAAATATCGTATCCTTGGTATACTAAATCCACATCTGACGTACGTACGTCAAAAGTGCTTTTATCACATGATAGTCATACAAATAATACAAACTACATGAAACAAATTGTGTACATGTGAAATTGTATAGCTCTCCTATTTAATTAAAAATATGTTGTCGACTAACTTCTGTTTGTAGAATCTTTCCTCTTTCCTGAAAAGTTTTCAATTAGCGGATTTTGCTTTATGACACCAATGCGCATGGTGCGATATAATGGTTTATAAAATTTATCTTATTGTTTCGGTTCGTATATTATGAATGAGGAGGATAAATCGCCAGAATGACAAAGTTTAAATTCGGACACGGTTGTCTTTGACAATAATCAATACAATATAGATAAAAGTGCTTTAAACCTTCATTAAACTCTGTGCAGAGTAATTAATGCTTAACACACGCTCATACATGTATGCACATATACATGAAGTGGAAAGTAGAATTTTATGCAATTTTGTGAGGGAAGCAAACCTTTTCTCTCGAATTTTTGCTTCTTTATTATCTGTTTGCGATATCACAGCTCCTTTCAATGATATAGTTGTTAGCTTGACAAGTTCTAGTAACTTGTATTTCAGGCTTTATGGTAACGTACTATCCGTTTGGTCCTTCGTTACTTGAGATATAGCTGTCGTCAAACTTGTTACATCGATGTACATTTGACACCCTCATGGAAGAATGGCATAAGGTTACGTTAAAAGTGTTTATGGCTCCATTAAATACAGAAAAATATAACCCACATCCTCTACAATTCTTGTAACTCTATCGACAACATTAGCCGATACAGTTACAAGAATTGGAAAGGATGTGGGTTATATTTTTCTGCATCTAATGGAGCAATAAACACTTTTGGCCCAACTCCACTTAAGACATTCTTCCATGAGGAATTTGCACATTTTTTTAGCACTCATAGCCTAGGGAAACCCTGTATCACGGGTGCCATAGAGACACACATAGATAATAACAAATTACACCCGGACTCACGAGAGAAATAAATGTAGGCCGTACAAATATTTCTCCCAGCCCAGGAATCGAACCTGGGACACTTGCGTGGCAGTCCGGCATCGTAACAGTTCGGCCACGGAGGCAGTTAAATCATCCAAGGAATCGAGCAGTACATAATAATGGTAGACCTATGACGATTAACGGTTACGCCTGTGACGGTGTGACCTCCTTACACCGTCATCCCACCTTTTTGTATCGCCTCTCTCCATTCGTATCGTATCGTTTTTCTTCTTCTACTCATATTTAAATTTAAAATTTTGAATTGTTCCATTTTCCTTCGCATTCTGATTTTATTTCTTTCGACGGTCACTCCCTGCTTGACCGCGATAGCGGATACTACTAAATCAAATTGTCTAATTTTTTAAATTCTTTTCAAGTTTAACCATAATACAATCAATGTAAATCAGGTATTGACCATAATAAGCGAATCACAGTCTATCTGTAATTCAACATAAATACAACCCGATAAGGGGTAAGTGCCTAAATTTAACACCTACCAATTTTAGGCTTAAGTTAGGGAGTGTCTTTTTATTAATGTGCTGTTTTTCTACATTTACCTTTTATTTGTTACAGTTTTTTCTTTACTTTGCCTTTTACTTCACGTTAAATAAATTTGTGGACCGGAAGTTTCCTGTTTTACTGCCGTGATCACGGTTGTTAGGGTTACAACCCTTTCACGCCTTTGAAAGTTGGGTAACATAATATTTACTAAAATTTCAGAATCACTATTTAGCGGAGAGAGGCGATATCATTTATTTCGTTATAAATACCTACGTAATATGTTAATAATTATCAGTAAAGCGAAGAGACATAATGTTTACACGTGTTGCGTTAATACATGGCATCGTAATACAAAATACGTGATCTATTGCACTGCTAATCAATACTTTGCCGTTAATGTTACAAATTTAAATAATGTAATAAACTACCAAGGCTACCAAACTACTAAAGAATGAATTGCAGTGACAATACGGTAATAAAATGCATTTTGGCAAAAATGATTCTTAAATTCTTAGGTTTTCGCTATTGTTATACATAGGAAATGAAATTATTTTTCCGGATTTAAATCGCGTATATTTGTTTTTTCAAACAAACCATCGTTTCGGGCCCTTTACAGATCCCTTGGTCACGGTTGACTTTGAAAAAAACAAATATACGCGATTAAAATCCGTAAAAATAGTTTCATTTTCTATAAATCTTAAGTGTTTTTTTTGAGGTAGCAAATGACGGGACGAAGAAGTCGTGCGATTGATGGTATGCGACACGTCTCTCTATAGCAGTTCCAATGCTACTCTGAGCTTTAAATCGCAATCACCTGAGGGGCTATACCACTGTGCCCGTCACCTCTGAGACATAAGTTGACAAGTCCCATGTGCCTGTAATTCCACCAGCACCCTTATCCTCCAGAACTGGAACGCAGTAATGCTCACATTACTGCTAGGCGGCAGAAATAGGTAAGGTGGCAGTACTTCCCTGGACGATCTCTTTGACAAGGAGCTCAACTGCTACAAAAGTTATTCTATATACCTATTTGCCTCACGACATAGAGGATATAAAATACTATATGAGATAATAAAAACATTAAAAAATAATAAAAACAATCCATAATAAACGAATGCTGACATTCATACCAGGGACATGATAAATCAAGAATTTAGTAAATTCATTTGAAACACAATTCGAATCCAAGTGGTCTCAGACCACGTAGTTTTTTGTGATTGCTTATTCTTTTTAAAAATCGATATCAAAGGTTTGTGGAATTACTGTTATCTGTTTGCCAAATTTATTGAAATTAGTTGACGGAAAGTGAGTGAAATTCAGTAAACTGGATTCATCCCCTAATTTGCCACCCTTGGAGGTGGAACATTTTCTTCAAATTTGAATACAACCACTACTAAGGCAACTTCTTTCCAACAAAAAATAATCGTCGAAATCGGTTGACAAATGTTGGAGTAATCGTGTAATATATACAAAAAAAAAAGAAAAATGTATTTCCGATCCAATGGTTAAATTTTCTCTATATGTATGTTGATTGGTAATATTTGTAATTCTAAATCATTACAGATAAACGCGTGAAAAATAAACGCGAAGAAGAAAGAACGCTGATTGTTTTTGATTTCAATGCGTTCAATATCTTGCAGATATGTAGATAGGTACTTAATTACTTATCAAGCTAGCAAATGCGTAAAAGGTATTTTGCAAAATATGAAAAACAAAAATATATATATATGCATTTTAGATCCGAAATAATAGTTTTATTTCCAATATGTAGCAATCGCGAAAGTCTAAGCACTCGAAATATATTTATTATTTTCTTAGTAAAAAAAATTTACTCACATAAATATCATTTTTAAACGTTACGTGAAACATCACTCGAATGTTAATTATACAGTTTAATGAAATATATATATTCACATTTTTATTCTTTATTCATATTTTTTTGACTCCATTTATTGTTTCAAAGTACTGTAGGCCCGATATTAGCGATTGACAACAAACTGTACTAAACTACTTTATTTTATTTATATTGTAAATTATAATATTAAATTGCCAATTTTAATTTATTCAGATTTTGGTCAAAGTAATTTAAACCATCAACGAAAATAATTCAACTCAATAAAATCCCTTTTCAGGGCATACATATTTAGTTTTTAACCCACATTTGATATGTTGCTGAAAGATTGTATTGTATTTCATGCCTCTAAGTAAAATGTTATTGCAATCTTAAATAAAACACTTTAGCAGTTCAGGCGACTAAAACCATTATTATATATAACCACATAACTAACATTTCGCACGAACGTAACGTAGTGTTTTTCCTATACCATGTTATCGACTGGCTTGTTATCGATCTGCAGCGAAGGTTAAGGTTGGAAGGGATCGTCATAACCGGGTGAAGGATCTCCGCCCGCCAGCTTGCCTCCGCATTCGATTTCATCGTTGTCAATATTATAAATTACTCTATTGTTATAATATATATATATTTAAATTTATCTGATCTCCTTCGCCGCGAGTACAGCTGGAAGAGATTTTATGATCGATGCATATTTTTTTAAATTTTTAATTTATCTAAATAAAAATTAAAAGTTTATTTTTTTCAATGCTGGGAGGAATATTACATTTTATATTCAAGATTTGAGAAGACGGTAAAGAATCTCTGTCTCAAGTGGCATATTTACTAAAATTTCGAAAGTTTGAACGTAATATCGCAAACCGATTTCAACAGTGGCAGATGGGATTCGTTACAAGTGCGTCATAAAACTCTTTTTTAACTGACTTCAATAAAAGGAGGAGGTTCTCAATTAGACTGTATTTTTATTGTATGTTACGCGATAACTAATTTGTGAACCGATTTTGATGATTCTTTTTTTATTGGAAAGAGAGTACCTCAATATAGGTCCCATTAAAATTTTAAGAAAATATTCCACGTCTAAGGATGGCAAACTAGGGGTTGAATCCGGTTTCGCACACTTTCGGTAACCGATTCAAATAAAATTTGGCAAATCGATGGAATTCCACGAAATTTTGAGATCGGTTTTTTTAGTACTCTGTACCGAGATTATTATTAGTGTATTTGCATTTCAAATAAATTTTCTGGAATTGGCATAGTTTTTGGATCAAAAATTGTAGCAATATTATCAGTTTCAATTACTTGAGCCACTGTCCCGTTTGATATTTGCTATTTTTAAGTTGTATCCTTATACAACTCGGAGTCTAAAATAGAGATTTATAGGTATGATTGAATTCGCGTTTTCCGACGTTATTTTGTAAGACATCTGACTGTACGAGGAGCGTTAAGCAAATAATACAACATATAATTTTTCTAGAGTGAGTAAATCAATATTATCCATTACAATAATAAATATTTATCAGTCACTTTATAAACGGAATATTATTACGTATGCTGTTATAAGAGAAAGTTGTCAATAAAAAATACAATCAGGTACCGTAGAGAATAATATGGACAGTAGAGTAGCGTTAGGTCATCCAACTCAGGAAGTGATAAGATTTTAAAATTTTTAACATTGGTTGTAAACACGATACGTATGAAAAATAAGAAGTACGAAAATATTGTCTAATTTCAAGTTGAAATGTGATTTACTAGGATCTAAGTTATAGTTCAAGAATAAAAATGCTTTTAATTTACTAGGGTAAATACTCTCCAATTTGATTTAAATTGCAAAGTGTACCAAACAGAAAACATACGTACAAACAATCAATTTCTACGAGCATTTTTAATGAACGTTACTACTTAAAATTTTCCTCGACACGTCTTGATTTATTAAAAGGCGGCAAACAACAGTAATAATTGTTTAAAGGATAATTTAAGTGGCCATTGAATAGACAATAAATACTGGGATGCAAAGTGATAAATTGTGTCATTGGAAAGTAAATAAACTCCTTTGGGTGTTTTCCTTCCGTTTGTGTAAACAATTTGTAAATGATTATATGTGCTTGGAATGCTAATGCGTACTCGACTTACATTTCGTCTGAGATAGTGTAAACACGCGTTTACAGCATAGCTAAAAAGTGCGTATCTGACCTAAACCAAATTTTACAGGTTATTTGTTATTTCAATGGCTAAGACTTTCATATTTGCACAGTAAGCATTAAATTATGTTGTCTACGGACTAGTAACAATAGATTCCTGTAAATTACTTACTTTAATTTCGTTGCCACGACATATACACGAATTTGATTTGGCCACTAAATTACCGAAATGGAAACTCATAATTACGCGTAATTGCACTATCCCTAAGGATTTATTACTTTTTTTGCCGATTTTGTGTTAATTTAGTTTAGAATTGTGGTAAATATTACCTACTGTCCTTATTTATTAGTTTAAATTGTTACTTTAACGTTGTTTATTTTTATGGATACCGCTTTCGTTACATTTATGTATATGATTATAAAAATTTTATATGTTATATTACATTAGGATAATAAATGAATTTAATTTTTGGTTTAATGAGTAAGTTTCTATTACAGTTTTCATTAATGCTGCAAAATCACTTTCCTTTGTAAATAAAAATTATAATATTTTTATAAAAAAAAGACCTATAAAGTTGTTGAATTACATCTTTATGCCAAGTTTTGAATGTGAGTGGAATTCAATAAACCCCATTCATTTCGAAATTTGCCACCATTACGGGTGGAATATTTTCTTCAAATTTAAATGGAACTCAATTGAGGTATCCTTTTTCAACAAAATAAGATCATCGTAATCGGTTCACAAAATATGTCGGAGTAGGTACTCAAACGCGTAACATACACACAAAAAATAAACAAAAAAATGCAGTCGAGTTGAGAACCTCTTTTTTTAAAGACGGTTAAAAAGTGCTTGATTTAATTATTGGTTAAAATATTAAAGGTGTTATTATTTTGCATTGTTCTGTTAATTGTTTACTTTACGAGAACGAAATCAAAAGAGACGTACCTGAATTTCAACGATTGTATATTGAGGTATATAATTAAAATAAGGTATGTAAGGAAAATCAGAGCATGCGTTAAGAGCCATAAAAACTTCGAAAAACATAAATGTAAATTACTAATTTGTAACACTATACGGCAATATTAAACTGATGATAGATTAAAAAATACGTCACTAAATTCAAGTCATGATAGCCATAGTTATATCCACCGTGATAACAAAACGCTTTTTTCTTTGATGCTCTATTACGCCTCATAAAATTTTCTAGGTCACCTAGGTCTTAATGTGAAAGTTTATTCAAATCTTTCGAAAAAAGTTGCGTATCATTTTTGAAATATGCCACTCTTAATAAATTGTACATAATTTATTTTATTTTGTTTAAGTACCTAGCAAAATAGAAATTGTACCCTCATTTTTAAAAAGTAAAATAAAGATGCTTACTAAATATAGTGCAGTGCAATCAGTCACAAAATTTTCATTCAAGTTGATAAAACATTTACAAACACTCTCGATAAAACAGTCAAATAAAATTAAAACACTATCGGCAAAATGCACGTCTATTGTTTGATATTCGATTGCTCGCTAGCGTTGCGCATCGCACGTCCGTCAACCGTGTACATGGAATGCGACTGTGGATAGGATAGCAGAAATGCGGGTGGTGAGACACCCGCATGTACAACCCGCCACGTAGATTGAACAGAGTCGCTGTGTAGTTCACAGAGAGTGCATAGTACAGACTGCAACGAAGACTAGTTACAACGAAAGAATATTTAAATTTACAAAAGGAATTAAGGAGCGAGTACACTTGGCAGTCAGCACATTTATCGATGCAGATACGTATTTGACCGGTCAGAGAAAGCTTTATATCCTTGCGATAAGAACAAAAAAACGATGTGCATTTCGCCTTGGCTCGGACTGACAAACATAATTTTATGTTTAATATTTATTTATTTATTCCTTTATTCTAATTACAACACACATATCCAATTACAGTAATTAGCAAGAACAATCATAATAATAATAATTATCTTTTCCGCCATGGGAGAGGCGAGAATCTAACATTGTCTATAATAATAAAAAAAATAAAGAAACTAAACAATAATAATAAGAGCAAAAAACATGATATGGAAGGCAATATTTATGAACAGGTGGACTCGCACTCATTCTTGTCGCAAAACATTATACAATTATTTAAGATGGTCTTCCATCCATCCCGATACATATCACATTCAGGCTTATAAAACAAGAGTGCTTTGATTTGAGTCAGTATTCGACAAAGAGGGGACTGTGCACGTGCAATATAATATGTCAAGAACAAATCAATTTGACACTTTGTTCTTTGGACCGTTCTTATCGTAAGCGGAATAGTTGAATTTAAATCTTAAGAGTCAATACAACCTCAAATGGCTTTGGTTGATTCCGCATAACAGTGAAAGTATTGAACCAATCACTTTGGAAAAAATATAAAGTAAAATTTAGATATACTCTGACTACTATACGGTGTGAAAACACGATACCTAAAAATTTTCGCGATAGAAAATACATAAACTTACCTCGAAATTTGACAAGAAAACGGCTACATTCAATAGAAACTTTACTTAAACCAATGTTTTTTTCATATCAACTGAACTAAATATAATACGTATACATTTACTATACTATACGATATACATTTTTCAAATGTCTTTAATTTCGTTAGTAAAAAAATTAATTCTGAAATAAAGCCAGCGTCCCTGCCGATCGGCCCATATTAGTATGGGAAAAATTTACATTCGAGCTGAGGTAGTATCAACTCTTAAGTGTCAAGCTTGACGTGCTCTTGACCCTGTATCACTGAAAAATAAAGCGACATGTGATCATACATCAAAACTACTTTTATCACATGCACGCCATAAAAATAATACAAAGTACATTAGATAAATTATGTTTATGTGCAATTTTAGAAATAATATTTAAGCATAGAAAGTTATCGTCTCATTTTGCAGATGTGACCTTATTACACCAACGGTGGGATATCTGTATTGATATTCCAACTCCATGTGTTTCTATTCATTGTAATACTTATTTCGGTAGCTGCCTGTACACAAAGACGCAATTACAAAATACGTCACAAACAGTATGACGACAATAACCTTTTTCGTCACGCAATTTTGTTTAAAAGTTATTTTCAGAATTAGATAATAGAATTAATAATACTCTTTCACGTACTTTTACTTCTGCTATGTGAAGAAAATATACTCCCGGACGCATAATTCGAGGCACCTTGCATTTTCAATATTAAATGCTTAGCTTAAACAATGCTTGATTCCTCAAAAATGCTATTATGCGACTTTGAATCTGGTCATTTAACTAAACGTCATTTCCTGAAGTCCTTATTGAAAATTTGAATTTAAAAAACCGGAGAAAACTTTTTCTTCGATGATAACTAAGTATATTTTTATATTCTAGCACTTTAAGGAAAAAATGCAAGGTGGCTCGAATTGTGTGTCCGGGAGTGTATATTTTTTGATCATAGTAATGAGACGAACAAGCCGTGAACCTGGTGGTAAGCGACACGCCAGTCCATGACAGGGGGTCTACTCTCGTTCTCATAATTTATTACAGTGAAATAAACAATACTCGATCTAATTAAAACATAATGTGAAGTATGAAGCGTCATTCGCATCATGCGTCTTTTAATTTGACAGCAATTGTTTTGGATGGATGTCGAACGGAGAACGAGAGTACTGGGCCAGTTGCAGTGCCATTCTGAGCTTTTAATCGCAAAGACATAAGAGCCACTGCCACTTTACCTATAACTTTACATAAAGTTGACAAGTCCTATGTGCCTGTAGTTTAAATCTCATCCGTGTCCTTCAAAACCCGAACACAACAAACCTCACATTACTGAGACATCACATAGATAGGCAGTACTGCTCTGGACGAACTCTTTCACAAGGAGCTCTACTGCTACTAGATATACGATTACTAGAGGTACGATTAATAATGAAGGGCTTCGGTATTCATTGATTCAAAGGGGATTTAAAAAAAATGTATAAAAATATTTAACGAATGAAGGAAAAATTGTTACTTTAAAAATAGGTACTAAAGTTACTCAGATATATTTAAAAAAATGAAATCAACTTATATATGCATTAAAAAAATCAATAATTCAGAATGCAATTAGCAATATTTTCATAATTAACGAGTTCTTACGTTTTCGCGATCTTTCGGATGTAAATCGTGAATTTTTTTTAAATAAGTGGTTGTAGTAATAGAAAGTAGAATGAGAAAAAACAGACGTAGAAATAACCCACACTACTTTTGCGCTGATGGCCACAATTGATAAACACTTTTTGAATGTTCTCAGGGTGGGAACCTATCTTTTTTTTTCGTATTATTTGTTGTATAGTTCTATCTCGCTTTTTACGGACGGACGGCGGCGCGTGGGCTGATTTCGAAAAGTGTGGACTTAAGGCTTGAAATTTTTAGGATCGGATACTACTAGTCAATATGATAATTTTATGTTCTGGAACTTTTTTCGTATCTTCATCTATACCAATATTATAAAGAGGTAAATTTTTGTAAATTTGAATATTTGTATTTCTGGAACTACTCAACCGATTCAGAAAATTCTTTCATTAATAGAAAGTTACACCATCCCCGAGTGATATAGGCTGTTGTAATAGGATTACTATTGGAATCTTTATACGGGGAGCAACTAGTAGTTATAGTTTTTGAGTAATAACACTTTAAAAAATGTTTGTAGAAATATTTAAGATTTGACGTAATTTATTTTAATTTCGATATTATGCGGTACATTCTCGACACGAGAAAAGATAGCACACATAAAATTAATGCCAATCAAAAAGATAATAACATTATTAATATCAAGACGCATACCTACGAACAATCACCGCTCAAGTTAGTCAGCAGTCTCATCACCCTAAAATGTCACTAGTTTTGCTAAGAAACACACGTGTAAACAATGGGGAGATTATCATAAACACAAACAAAAGATCAAAGTTGTTAAGAAATATGCTTATCTTTGACAATTGTGGTCAAGTTAGAATAATAGTAGGTAGTAATTAGGTCAGTTTGTCCCATTCGAGTAAACTTCTCTCAGAACGTGATTACATTTCGTAAGAAACGCACTACTTATTTTCAAATAATATCCTTTTCTTGGAAGTTTTAAAAAATGGTTGGTGAATTGATGACTAACCTAGATTTGTTTGTAAAACTAAAAAAAAGTGGCAATATTAAAAATGCTGCGGCATTATTTGTTATTATAAAATCTAGTTTAAACAAAAATTTAAGCGAAGACAATATCAAAAAGTTGAAAGCGTTTTGTGCAACATATTGTTCTAATCTTCACAGAAATTGACTCAGTGCTAATAGAAGAGAAGAAGATTTTATAAAGAAATATAGTAAATGGTTGGATGCAGATGTATTATGGCCCGATTATGTTAGGAGTGCTTCAGAACAAAGCAACGAACCATCTACGATCACGCCTATTACATCAGCACAATTTACAACATAATCAAAAGTAAGCGTTGGAACCTATACTGAGTTGAGTCCAAGAAAACCTTTCTGTGATTTAGGGCCTAAACAAAAAAAGAGTCGCGCTGAGAATATTGATAACACAATAAAAATATCTTATGAAGAGATATCGTACGTACATTCCATGAAATGAAAAGCTGATGGTCATGGTGACATTGCCAAAATCGTTGATTACTTGCTTAAAAATCCACAAGATGTGAAAAAAGTAAAAGAATGTATTATATTATAATTAAACTAATTAAAAACTAATTTGTAATTAGTAACAAAACTGAAAAACCGTTGTTTGATGCAGATGAGGCTTTAGGTTTGTTTGTATCACTAAAACTATCCAAGTGGCAGTATAATACATTGAGAAAAAGTGTTGCAGAAAAAGGTGTGCATATATTTCCTTCCTACTTTAAACTCCAAAAAGCAAAACAGTCGTGCTATCCACCTAAAGAGGAGATTACACTAACAGAGATCGCTCTTAGATTTGACAGCAAGCAGATTATTAAAAGCTATACCGTTAAATGACGATTGTAAACAAATGAAACTAATACAAGTTTCATATAAGCAAACAATAGAATCAGAAACGGAAGATAATGGAGATGATTTCAGCGTATTTATGGGAAGTTTAGTACCCATCAAGTTAGTTTCTGGAGAATCAACGATTTGGGAAAACGACTCGCCAAATTCAACACATGTGTCGCCCACTATTTTTTAGATTCTTTAAAGAGAATAAAGCAACCATAATACAGCAAAAGACATCAGAAAAGTCTGAAATTGACCAACTGCAGACTACAAAAGTAGAAGATGTTGCAATTACTCATTCCTTACTGCTTACTATGATAGACGGTAAAGCCACAGCAATTTTAAGTGAAACATCAATGCAACGATGTTATATATGTAAAGCGTCTCCCAAAGAAATAAACGAGTTAGATCATCAAAAAATATAGATACCGAGTTATATAAATATGGTCTATCCTCATTGCATAGGTATGTGAATACGTATGATGGAGTGTATTCTTCACAGCGTATAGATTAGATTTGAAAACGTGGGTTGTGAAAGGTGAACAAAAAGCCGCTCTGGAAACTAG